GATCTTTGACAAACCAGGCAAAAAAGCAATGGGAAAAGGATTCCCTGTATAATAAATGGTGTTGGGAAAACTGGCTAGCCATGTGCAGAAAGCAGAAACTGGACCCCTTCCTGACACCTTACACTAAAATTAACTCCAGATGGATTAAAGACTTAAACATAAGACCTAACACCATAAAAATCATAGAAGAAAATCTAGGCAAAACCATTCAGGACATAGGCGTAGGCAAGGACTTCATGACCAAAACACCAAAAACATTGACAACAAAAGCCAAAATAGACAAATGGGACCTAATCAAACTCCACTTTCTTTCTTATTGATATGAATATACTAACTTGAAGCCCTCTGCCTCCACTGGGTTCAGTTCTTGAGAAACTCAGAAACCCCAAAGCAACCACGTATGGCCAAAACCATTTTCTTCATAAAATTTTATGTTAGAACAAAATAATATATTAAGAGTCTCTTCCATAATATTGGAGGAAATTGTTTGCCCTCATTTAAGCAGATAACCTTAATGTGCCCAATCTTCCAGAGAAAGAATTCTAATAAAAATATAAAGTGGGAAAAGATAAGAACCAACTTTTATATACACTAGTAAGTTTTATGTTTTTGTACTTGTGCCTAACTCATGACTAAAATTTTAAAATGAAATCTATAAGGTTTCTATTTGTGTCAGTCTATATGTTTAGACATGTTTATTATGTATATCTGACATTTTCCTACCCCCCAGATGATATTGTCATATTAATTTATAAAATCTCTGTATTCATCTATTTTCATGCTGCCGATAAAGACATACTCAAGACCGGGCAATTTATAAAAGAAAGGTTTAACAGACTCACAGTTCCACATGGCTAGGGGGGCTTCACATTCATGGTGGAAGGTGATAGGCATGTCTCACCTGGATGACAGCAGGCAAAAAGAAGAGGGAGAGCCAAGTGAAAGGGGTGTCGCCTTATAAAGCCATCAGATCTCATGGGACTTATTCGCTACCACAAGAACAGTCTGAGGAAAATCATCCCCAAGCTTCAATTGTCTTTCACTGGGACGCTCCCACAACATGAGGACATTATGAGAGCTACATTTCAAGATGAGATTTGGGTGGGGACACAGCCAAACCATGTCAATCTCTTAAAAGAATTCTATTCTAATAGGCTTAGAAAAAAAATAAGCACTTCCTTATAACTCCTTGAAATTTAGGAACTAATCCAAATGTTTTCCAAGGATATGTAATTTGAGTAAATCTTTGATAAATAAGACAGAATTGGTAGTTTTGGCTAAATAAAAGCAGATATGTGACTGAGTTATCAGCATGAAGTATAATGCAGACATACATTTTATTCTCTACTTGGGTTTACTAGCCAAACAAGCTAATATTATACTTTCTAGATGTTTAATATTATAAAACTTATAAATCTGATTTTAATCAAAGTGAGTAATTACGCTAACAACTTTTAAAAATAATAATTGTGTATTCAGCTAACATTGTACTCGATGAAAACTGAAAGCTTTTCTTCAGTGATCAGGAGCAAGACAGGATACATACTTTAACCATTTATTTTCAGTGGAGTACTGAAAGTCCTAGCTAGAGCAATTAAGATAGAAAAAGAAATAAGTCACCCAAATAAGAAAGGAAAAAGTGAAATTGTCTCTGTTTGCTGATGACATTATCATATACACAGAATCCCTAAAAACTTCATGAAAGAAACATTAAAACTGACAAATTCAGTAAAGTTGGGTGCAGGATACAAAGTCAACTTACAAAATCAGTAGTGTTGCTGTATACTAACAACAAATTGTTTAAGAAAATAATCCCTGCCATTGTCTAAATGTGTCCACCATAATGTGTGTAGGAAACTTAATCCCCAGTGTAACCATGATGAGAAGTGTGGCCTTTCGGTGGGTATTTAGGTTATGAGGGTTTTGTCCTCATGAATGGATTAATGCCATGATAAAATGGGCTTCAGGGAATGGGTTAACTCACTTTTGCACATACACTTTCTGCCATGTGAGGATGTAGAAAGAGTAAGAAGGCCCACATTAGATGCTACTACCTTGATCTTAGACTTCCCAGCCTCTAGTACCATGAGAAAATAAATTATTTTCTTTAAAATGTTTCAACCAACTTATAAATTCTGATCCCTGGTGAAGATCCAAGAAGAATTTAAAGGTAGTATCATTATCAACATGGAAAAAAAAAAACACAAATAACTAAGGATAAATACATAAGAATAGTAGCGCCTTCTATTTTGACTGCTTTGTAGTTGAATGACTTATTAGACATCTAGGCCACAATGCCCTCTAAATGTTTAAATCTGGGAGTTAGAATTAGGATGAGGTTGACGAAAAGTTTGGAAGTCATCAGTGGATAGGTATCGCAGCAGAAAAGATAAACTAAGACCTCCACCCCCAACCCCACACTCACATACACATATACACATAGCTGTGGCCTTCTAACTCCATTTCCTGGGTAAGGCACACATTCATTAGGATAGAATAGTGGCCACATGTTAATAAAAGGAAGGAGAAGGAGATCCAATCATTTTGAGGGAGTAGGTTTGTTTTCAAGCAGGAGAGAGTGAGTTGATATCATTTGACCCCCTAGTTCCAGCATACCTAATGCTCACTGCATCTCATCCTATTCCAATTATATCATTGTATCACTCCATTCTTTCATTCCATTTTAAAAAAAACCAAGAATGCATAATTTATAAAGAAAAGAAGTTTAATTGGCTCATGGTTCTGCAGACAGCAGAGGAAGCATAGGGGCTTCTGCTTCTGGGGAAGCTTCAGGAAGCTTCCAATCATGGCAGAAGGCAAATGGGGTAGAGAGGTGCCTCACGTGGTGGGAGCAGGAGCAAGAGAGAGAGATGAGGTGCCACATACTAGGAAACAACCAGATCTGATGAGGACTCGCCACGGCAATGACAGCACCAAGGTGGGCTGCACTAAACTGTGAGAAACCGCCCACATGGTCCCATCACCTCCCACCAGACACCACTGCCAATATTGGGGATTATAATTCTACATCTGATTTGGGTGGGGACACAAATCCAAACCATATCAATTAGTCAACAAAGTCTTTTACTTATTTTTTAATCTGGTTATAATTTGTCACATAATGGGAAGATCTTGACTAATGCAGAGGAATGAGATCATTAATATGTATGAAGACTGCAGGGAATGAAAAGTGAAGAAGCTCTCTGTCTTTGGCCGCCTTGTGTCCTGGGACATTACCTGTTACTACCACTAGATGGCAGCCTCATTCTTCTGTCTTGCCTTACTTAACTAGTTATCTCACTAGCAGTGTCCGGAGAGCAGTGCATAACTCTACGTTCTCCATCACCTTTCCAGTTAAACACACAGTCCAGTTCTGATGGCAATAGAGACCCTCCTACTCTATCATCTCCTCCCTCTTTTCTCTTGTGTCCCCCTGGTCAGCAGGTTCCGTTAGGAGGGCTGTCTGTGGAGCTGGAAAGAAAGAGCTTCAGGTTTTTCCAGTTTCGCAGAGTAAAGCAGCTCCTAAAATACAGATATTTTTGTTAATACTGGTTGTCTATTAGAGCCTAACACTACTTCATTATTTAGTCTATATCTCTGCTTCACACAAAATAACGAAAACAAAAATGAAGTCTTCTCCTCAAAAGAGGGATGGAAAGGAACAGTCATGTATTACCACGGAATGAACAGAAAAAAAAAAAAAAATCAAAGAAAATTGCATCCTTTCTTTTATCTCTTCAAAATATAGAGTTCACAACGATTCTATTTTAGTAGGAAAACAAACATGCAAAGTCTAGAAACCCCCAATTTATAAATGTCTTCACTATTGTGTGAAAATCCTGTGCTGGTTGAAAGACGTGAACACAAACGTGAAAGGAAGGACACTTGGGGGGGGCTCTGGGTGTGAGCTGAGAATGGAAATAATAATCTGAGGTTCCAGATGAGAACATGGGCGTTCCAGTACAGGAACAGGCAGTGTGACGCTAGGACACAGCACGTGGGCAGACATAGGGCTGTAACAATAATTAGCCCAGGTTCAGGGAACACATGTTCCATGCTAAGCGCCATGGTATGTTTTATGTGTCTTGTCTCCATTGATCCTCTCCACAGTCTTATAAGCCTGATACCATTATCACCCCCGTCCTACATCTGAGGAAACTAAACTCACACAGGCAAGTAAACTGTGTAATATTGTCGTTCCTGAAGAAGAACGGAGATTAAATTATCCTGCTTCTAACCACAAACTTAACGTTGTCAAACCCAGATGGAACCAGAAAAAAAGAGGTGATTATAAGAGATTTCAAAAAAATACAGACCCATATCTTAAAAATATCAGTCTCTTCTTTAAGAAAGTATTCTGTCTAGGTGTTATAATGGACTAATAGTAGTTTCAACAATTTAAAGACATTGAGCAAGAGCCTCCTCTTGATAAAATTGCAGAACATAGTTTATCTCTAACTGCTATGACAGCGTCCTTATATCTTCATCTGCCTCCTGACTTTGCAGACCCTTCTTCTTCAGAATGTGGGTCAGGGCCAGCATTGGGAGCCTGTTACCAATGCAGAATTACAGATCTGACCTCAGACCTGCTGGGTCTGAGCTTCTGCATTGTAGCAAGATCTGCAGGGCACTTGAATGCACATTGCAGTTTGAGAAGAATCGGTTTAGACTCCTTAGAGGACTCTTTCAGAAAAATAAGTGGATTATTTTAAAATGGTGTTGTTTTTTCCCTGAAAGACACAAATACTTCCAAGATACTCTATAGCTTGTTGTTAATGATTCTGAACAAGGTTTACATCAGCACCTTTAATGGCCAGTAGTCAATGGTTAAGAAAACAAGCTCTAAATCCAAACAGTCTGAATTAAAATCTAAACTTTACCACATATTATTTAAGTGACCTCCAGCAAATTATTAAACTTAACCGCTCTGTGCCTTCACTTTCTTATGTGAAATAAACTGCCCTTGGTACGGAGACTACAGAAGGACTTTTTATTCTTACCATTGCTTTACAGTGATATCATCGTTATCTTATTATCCTTATTGTAACCTTCATCATCATCATCATCATCATCATCATTGCTGTGTTACTTTCTCCTGTTACAAATTAGAAAATGTACATTAGCGGGAGAATAACAACCTTGATATGAGATGTAAATCAATTTTATTGAAAGCCACTGAATGAGAAAATACAGCTGCTCAGATCTCATACATAGGACAGCATTCTTTTCTTTGAATCATACAATTTCCATGATTCAACTATGACTTCAGGCAAATTAGACTGGCCTTATCTTTTCCATGACCTCAGCTCCAGTTCCAGAGCTTCAGTCTCCTGCTAGACCCTAAATCTGAATTTTCTACCATCATCTTACAATCTAGAGATCTAAAACAAACAAGCATCTCTCCCCACAGGCCAGCTCCTCCTCCCTATTTCAGGCCATGGAGCTTCATCTTCCCAGTCATGATGCTGAACAATTTTGCTCTTTCTTTGTCCCTCCTTGGCTCCACCTATAGTCACATAGTCATCACACTCTCTAGTGAAGTTCTTAAACCCCCATTTGTGTTTAAGGACCACTTTTTTCAAAAACGTTCAAGCCTTCAAAGGCCAATATTTGTATAAAAGACAATAAAATGGATCACTAGAAAATGAAATGACAAAAAGTCAAAGAAAGTATAAGCCCAATATTTTTAATCACATTCAGATATAAAATAAATTTTAATAAATTGATTAAGTACAAATACAGGAAAAAATGAGAAAACTGAACCCATTTATAGAAAGTATACATACAGGTGATCAATATATCTAATTTTTACATACATAATTTTTTTCTGTAATTATAAATATTGAGTAAAATAGCAATCTTACATATGAAACACCTATATCAGCACGTTAAAAGAACATGTTCTGGTAGATGTTAAAAGATTTAGTGTACTCCTTGATTATTATCTAATTTATTGGTAACAATGCTACCTCCAGAGGAGTCTATATATTTAAACTCTTTCTGTGTTGTTTTGCTTAAATAATGCTCATGTTTGAAAAGGAAATCTCACAGTAAATATTTATGTTAAATTAAGAAAACACATGTTAAGGCAATTTCAGCAAGCTCAGGATATTCTATTTTAACTGTTAGATGATATTAAGAAAGTGACACCATATTTTTAAAATTAATCTTCAATCCTCCTTAGTATCCAGTTCTAAAATAATGAGGTATAAAATTACAGTTAACAAATTACATCTGATGAAAGAAGTAGATTCTGGTTCTGTAAATTTTTTACATGTAAATATTCTTTGGACAGAAAATAAAATTTAAATTGGAAACAAATGTGTACGGTTTTGCTGCTAACTTTTCACAGATTTTAATATCAAAATTAGCCCTTATTGCTAATTGTTGAATCATTTACATATGTCATAAGAATTTGTAGAAACTGTTCATTCAAGCATCTAACTTTTATTTTTGTCCTTAGTTCATGGAAAACATTCTACATTTTTTCCTTGAATGGAAATATTAAAATCATTAAAAATACTGAAGATCTTGGACAAGTAATAAGCATGGCTCATTCATATCCTTAAAAGTTGGAGATCAAACTGGTTTCACAACTTTCAGAACCAGCACGTTCGTGTGGTCGCTGAAATATTTAACAGAACATTTATACTTAAAACTATAAAAGGCAGTGACTATTGTTCAGATTAGCATCCACAATATTACATAATAAAGAAAATAGTAGTCAAGAAGTAATGCTGTAGGCTTATGTAATTCAGTTTTTACTGTCATTAAAAATATTTTAGTTCAACTGCTTTTCTTTTCCATAGTGAGACTTTCTCCATGAAGGAAATAGTGATTTATATTCTAATATGAGTTCTTTCATCTAGGCAATGACTTCAGCATGTTTTCTTGTCATCATAGGTTCAGTAGCAGAACATATAACCATGCAAAACTTCAATTTAAGACCGTATTTGCTTATAAAGTAATCTTTCAGAATTTAGGTAGTTCAGAGTTAATCACATTTGTTGCCAAACAGAAAAAAAAAATCTTCTTTCATATTTACATCACATGTGTAAATTACACCAGTACTAATCAAGTTATAGTGGAAGATGTTTCACCAACTTCACTTATTCTATGAATTAATATTTCATACCACATGTCAGCATGCTATGGTGTTACTAGAAAGTGATAGCTGAGCAACCATCTTTGCCAAAAATTTACTCAATATTTCCAAGCAAACATCTTTAACCAATCTCTCACTGATGTCTCAGCAAGTGTATATGCTTATACTAATCTGAGCAACCTGAAGTGACATTTAATAAGAAGCCCACAAAGTACTAATACACTTGTGTAAAACTAAACTTTTGTTTTCATAAGCTTTTCAAACTCAATAAAATAATTTATTGGTTCTTCCTTTTGAATGATTATTTTGGTGTGAGCTTGTTTCTGTCTGCCATGTATATAAATGCTACTTAAACATTAGTGTTTTCATTGCTTAATTTGTCAAAACATTTCCTTAAGTGGTGAAACACTATGGTTTAGCTGTTCATAATGGCTATGAAATTAAACTCAATTTTATAAGGTCCTGCCTCTCTGGCTCCTTTCATCATCTGGGGTGTAACGTAAATTTTTTCTTCTATATTCCTAAATGTTCCCACCACCTTGGCTCCCTCCATCTTCTGTGGCCTCACCATTTGTTCTTTCATCATTTGCTCTGGCTTTGCATGTCACTTCCATCATTCTGTCTCTTGCACAGCTCTTATTTATTGAGCTACTCCCTTACTTCACTGCTTTTGTTTCCCCATTGTCCCTAGGTGTCACATCATGGACATCTAGAGTAGAGCTTCATATGCACATTGGCATTTCTAGGAATCTTATAGATCATATCCGTCTCTAAGCTCCTCCATCTACTTTGTTTTCTAGCTGTTTCCATATCAGCAAATGTCTATTCTCACTACTGTCCTTACTATATAAACTTTTCCTCTTTCTAAATGCTATTCATCTTCCTAGAGCTGATTTGAAAAGTGCTCTGTTCCCCCAGTGCCATTTCTAGCTTTGGTGATTTAGCTCTTCTCAGTTACACAGCTTGTCAGCTAATCTCACTGACCAACTCTGCGTCCCTTCCTCAACACACACTCATTTCTTCCTCAGCTACTTTTTACTCCTCGGTTGCTCACCTATCCCAGATGCTCCTATGTATGGAACCACATCCATTTCCTGAACTTCACTATTTAATCCACTGTTGTGTTGTCCATCATTTCCACTTTGCTCATTTCTTCATCTTTTCATATATCCTGCTACAATGTTCCTGCAGCTATAATCTCTTGCCCTTGCCTAGCCACTCGAGTTGTCCTAAGGTTCCTGATCAATTGTCAGAATCTGTCCTCATGTGCTTTTAAGAAATTTGTTTCTTCATTGCTTATTATACTCATTATCTCCTTGTTCCTTTAATTCTTTCAAATTTCTAGTTGATTCTGTACTTCAGCTTTTCTCAGACTCTTAAAATTGTTCCCAGATGTTCCTGCTGACCTCAGTCACAGTGCATATTTACTAACTTGCTCTATTCCCTAAAAAATTCACTTACCTGTTGTTTGCATCTAATTATATTGTTTTGATTCTAATTGGTACTTATATTATAGACATGTTCATTTCCTAAATTGCTCTCATATCCCACATTAGTCCTATATTCAGTAATAATCTCTAGCTGGAGTTAGCCAAACTGTGGAGATCAAGGGCATAGTTCTTCACAAGACTGCTCTCACTTCTGACACCAACTGCTAGTTCAGAAGATCCTATTACCACTCTCAGGTTAAACAATTTGCTTGAAGGACTTACAGAACTCCCTGAAAGTTATTACACTCATGGTTATATTTTATTACAGGAAGAAGATACAGATTAAAATTAGTCAAAGGAAGAGACATAGGGGAAGGGAAGACAAAGCTTACTTTGTCCTTTTTCTGTGGATTAAGCACACATTAATTTCTGTGTATCATCACTGTGTGACAATACACATGGAGTAATACTAACCAGGGAGTTTCCACAAGGCTTGGTGTCCAGAATTTTTTTAGGGCTTTATAACAAAAGCATGATTAATTGATTGATTGATGGCCCACACAGTCAAACTCAGTCTCCAGGTCAATTGGAGCCATCATCCTAAATTACATTGTTGGTCTTTCTGGAACAACCAGCCCTATCTTAAGCTGTCAGGTGTGGCCAGCCCCATCCTAAGATCTGTTCTGGCCAGACGCTGCTCTAAACGAGGACACTCTGACATAAATTACATCTAAGAAGTCAAGGGCAAAGGCCAGACTCTTTTTTGGAAACGGCTGATTTCCTTATGACACAATTCCATATTCTCCTTACTATACAATTCCATATTCTCGGATGCTACCATGTCCTATACAGTTTGGCTGTTAATTTAATACTCGTGTCTTCAGCTCTTCCTTCTCTATATTTACATTATTACTACCTCTTTAGCTGTTGTTTTTCACTTTTCTTATTTCTCAGAAATTGCCCAAATAATCTCGCTTCTTTTTCATGGTTCCCATTTCATCATATACTTTAGTTTTTTCATCTCCTACATAAAACTGGAATTGGAATTTGTAAGAAGGACCCACTTTTTAATTTTAAAAGCTTCCACTACCATTACCTATATGTTTCTAATCATCTTGCCATAATCAGGAATGCATCTTCTGTTGTAACGCTTTTCCTAAAATATTGTACCGGGGTTCAGAGACCCTGCTTCCTTTCTTTCACGCCTTCTTTCCCAATCCCCGCCCCTGACCCCAATCCAATCCTGCATCAAGGCTTTATCACAGGGTCTGTCTCATTTCCCATTATCATTTTTTAAAAAATGTTTTCCAATGTGGAAAAAAAACTTGAGGATGTTTTTCATAGTTTAAAACTTCGGTCAAATTATCACAAACCCATTAAACAACAATGTAGTTAATAGCAAAGAACTAACTGAGACGGGTGGCATAATAACACCTATCTCTTAAAGTTAACAAGACATTTAATTTTTATTGTATCAATGCATCATGTATTTTTCTAGTGAAGCATTTTGATTTGTAATATTTATTTGTATCCAAAATGGATGCATTACCTTGTTGTGTTTAATAATTTAAAATATCATACATTATGTTAAAGCAAGTTAAAAAGTTCTACTAAATTTTAATGATTTTTCTTTAAGATGGTTTTATTTAAGGTTTTCTATATCAAAGATGAAACATTTAGTAAAACATGTACATTGGAGAAATGTTAGGGAACTTCCATGTACATATGTGAGTTCAATAGGTACAAAGACAAAAAACTATTTTAAAGAAAAATCATGAGAAGAAATTAACATATATATATTATGTAAAACACCTACCATAAAACTTTAAATATCGCATTTTTAAACTATAAATCTCTCTTAAATGAAATATAATAGTTATATGATTAACATTTTCAAAATAAACTAGTAAAATATCTGGCATGTATTAAGCTATTAATTATAATCCCTTGACTTTCATCGTATATTTTACATCAGTTTGTTAAAACTTATTCCTTTTTTTACTGCAATGTAAAACCACTGTGTATATAAAATGTAAAATATCTGGAAAATGTATTTTCTATATACACTAACTAAAGCTTCATAATTCCTGGACAATTCTTCATATGTTATGATTTTTATTGTCACATATTATGCTTTATTATGTAATATTTATCTCAGCCAGAAATATCTCATTTTTGAATTAAACCATTTTTATAGAATTCTATTATAAATATAAAATTTTAAAGTTGTTCCACTACACTGAAAATAGTCCATCTTTACATACTCTGACTAATACAAATGTCATGAGTTCTCTCACTGCTAATTTATTCCACTTTCTTCTGGAGGAGAGTTTGTATTTATTTCATGACGTCTGTAGATAGTGGATTGCAGAGGAGCTGTGGGTTTTGGTTTCTGCAGACTGACAACCTTCAGCTTCTCTGGTCTTTGGGGGTTTTGAGAAGTAATAGAAATGATAAGATCTCACCCCCACACCCAGTATCCTGGATCATAAGCCTGAATTTTGAAAGACAACATATAACAGCAAAGATATGTCTCTACAGATAAATACAGCTAGCTCTGTATCCTTATCCAGCATCTAATTCTGTCTAGGCCACAATTCCAACTCTCATATGTAACACCCCCTTCACTCCAGTTCAGTCCAACCACTCTTCAAAATCCCCTTAATCCCATTTTCACACACCCCACTGGGGAAAACCTAAGTTTTCCAGGGCATGAAGTGGATGATCTGTCCCATCTTTGATTCTGGGTTATGGTTGTGACCAATTCCATTATCTCTATTCAGAATTTGGAGTAATCAGTCAGTATGTGGAAGAGATACCTGCATTTCTGTGTTCATTGCAGCATTATTCGCAATAAATGTGATACGTATACACAATGTAATACCATTCAGCCATAAAAAAAAGAAAGAAATTCTGTCATTTGGGACAGTATGAGTGAACCTGGAGAACATCATGTTAAGTGAAATTAAGTCAGGCACACAGATAAATACTGCATGATCTCACTCATACGTGGAATCTTTAATAGTAAAACTCATTAAAAGCAGACAGTAGAATGGTAGCTACCAATGGCTAAAGAGAAGAAGAATTGAAAAGATTTTGGTTAAAAGACATAAAAGTACATGCAGACAGAAGGAATAAGCTCAAGAGGTCTATTGCACATCACGATGACTGTAGTTAATAATGACATATTGCATATTTGAAAATTTCTAAGAGAGTTCTTTTAAGAGTTCTTATTACAAGAAAATGATAAGTAGGTAAAGTGGTGCATATGTTAATTAGCTTGATTTAGCCATTCTACAATGTGTACATATTTCAAAACATCATGTTGTAAAATATGAACATACACAATTTTTATTTGTCCATCAAAAAAATAGAAAAAAGGAAAAAAAGAGTGAGAATGCCTTAAGAAGAAGCCACTGTCCACATGCTCTGCTAAATATCCACATGATTGAATCTTCCAAACAGGAGCATTGAAGCTTCTTATGTCATCAGTCATCTTAACTTGGGAACCAGGGAAGCTGGAAGGAAAATATTGAGGGATGGCTCACTTTTCCTGGAGATTAGCGTTAAACAACAGCCCATGACACTGATGCCACCTTTTCAAATCCTCCATCATCATCCTTAATAACACACAGATATTTTTACTTTCCCCACAATGCCATATTCTCTCCATTTAAAACACAAAATATTTTGGAGCCCTATCTACTCCTTTCCATTCTCATTTCAGACCTCAGAAAGTTGAGAGGACATTTAACAAGAAATTGACAAGGTTGACAAGAAAATTTAGGGTAAGAAGAAATAGTAAGACCCCATAAGAGGGAGAAAAGTATATAAAAAGACTCCAGGTACGTTGTCTTATTGAAGAAAAAAATCTGCCCCCAATACTATATTTGCAAAGCTGTTTTCTCTGCCACTTATTAACATTTATGTGCATGGCCCTGTATTAGAGAAAATTATATGTTAGTCCAGACTGCACCATTTTGCAAGTCTCCCCTCCATTTTGCAGGCCTTGGTCAGGGTGAAACATTCCATGGGGGTTCAGGCCATGAGAAACATCCTGCCTAGCCACCTGACCACAAAGCACAGGAACATCTTTTTCATTCCCTGCTTAAGGAACACCCCTCTTATATCCTGCTGGGCAAAAGTCCAAGGAACATTCTAACCATATCCCACCAGAAAAAGGGCCAAACCACCTGATCATAGGAACACCTTATCAATATCCTCCCAGGCAGCAAGCCATACTGCCCAGACCCCTCCCACTCAGGCCTATAAATTACCCCAGCCTGTAAACAACAGTGGGCTCAGGCATTAAGCTGGTCCCCAACTTCCACAGGTTGCACCAGCAATAAAACTGCATTGCTGCAGAGCCACCAACTCTCCCTCTTTCTGTCTTTAACTCTTGCCTTCCCTTCAAAACCTAACATTATCTACAACCCTATTCTCAGGATCTTAAAGTCTAGGATATGTTTTGAGATTAAAGAGAAACCCCTTTGAGATTCTAATAAAAGGACAGAAAATTATACATATGTTCACATATACGTCATATTGTGCATAAAATTTAAGGGAATCTGTAGGTACTCTAATGACTGTCTTTCAATTATAACTCTGAAACTTTAGATATAACATTACTAGATATATGGACACTTTGATCCAGAAATTTCACTACCATTAATGTATCCTCTTAGTATAATATCACCTATACAAAAAAAGCTCATAGGAAAAATCTCTGTTTCAAGGCAGAATATGACACTTTGGTGCAGGTGGGAGAGAATGCTATGAAAGGACAAATTTTTTGAAAGAGAATGTAACCATCACAGAGAGAATTACTATATCCAGGGAGGCTTCTACTGACACTCCTAACTGGTCATTCTAATAATCTTAAATACATTCAGCTTCCATGGAGTCTTTTAAGTCCTGATTGTGATCCACTGCTTGAACTTTGACAATAGCACATCTAATATTTCCAATGGTGCCAAAATTTTATTTTGTATTTCTCTCACTTAGACGTTACTAATAAAACATTGCCAAAGATAAAGCTTGACACTATTCAAGTGGCCAGGGTAAATTTTATCAGTAATACTGTTGCTATAGGGAAATAGCCTAGTATAAACCAAACTCAACTGTGATTTGTATGGAAGTGACTGAGTGTTTTAAGAAGAGGACGGGGTACAGAGAGTAGAGAAAGGTAGAGGCTTGAGCAGTCAGAGAAGTCAAAGTTCACAAAGGTCAGGGCAAGAGGAGGAGTTAGTTGGGTTTATTAACTGGTGTTTATTCCAAGAAGAAACAAACATCTTTTTTATGACAGGAGCAGATGTGCAAGATAAACTGAGGCTCCCACTTAAGTGAGGCCCTTATCCTGTCATGGGGGCTGAGAACAAGATGGAGTGATATTTCCGTAAAGGCTTACAGTTCAGAGACAGTGCTCAGGTCCTTGAGGAAATACTTTTGAGTTTATATTTTAAATGGAAGGAAAGGATTTGTAATTGCAAGCTTTCTAAAGTAACTGCTTAACTAAGAGGGGTTTTAGGGGTCTATCTGTCCATCACCAGGTTTTGGCTGGAACAAAGTAAATTCTCCCTGCAGTGTTAAGCTTTTGTAGGCCAGCATTTTATGGAAGGCTGGAGTCATCCTAGGCATGTGACCTTGAGCTGTTGGAAACTATGCTAGAGTTTGTTCAGATCTCTTAGTGCATTTCAGTAAATATGGGAGGAGTAAACAAAATCTTAGGTATTGAGAGTCTGCAGTTTTTCTAGGCCTAGGTGAGAAGACGACTCAAAGGAG